CACTCTTTCTGTCTAGAAAATCAGTTTTCTTGTCACAAAATAAATCAGGTTGGCCTGACGGTTGTTCCTGTCGTTAATGCCACTGGGTATTTTAGTCCGTTTCTCACTGGTGACGAACCAGGAACGGAGCTATGACGCAGGAGCCGTGCTTCTGCTCTTTCTGCTTCAGCTGGCATAGAGTCTGCTGTCACTCCACGCGCCGCAGCTCTGGGCACAGACCGCCACAGAACCGTCACTGAACCCAGACTTCCGAGGGACGCTGGTTTGGAGTCTCCTGGCCTGCTTTGCCAACGGGCGTTTCCGAGCTGGAGGCACCAAACCCCAGCACCGAGGAGCAGGGCCCGGCCAGCAGCAAGGGCTGCCAGGGACTTGCGGAGGGCTGGAGAAGCAGCCGGGTGCTCGGCCTTTTTCTGCTGTTAACGCAGAGATCTGGCAGATGCTTTCAGTGGACGTCAGGAGCTGAGGTGGCTTTGCAAGGTGTTTCTTGGTACTCAAGGAGACAGGCTGTAAGTTCTTGGTCTTCACTGCCTAGTGCCAGCAGACAGAAGGAAGGCCCCTCTAGCTGGTCCATGTTGTCAGCCCAAGAAAGGGACCCATGTGCCAGGCAGCCTGCAAGCAAGCCTTGGCCTTCCAAAACACAAATAGAGTCCAGCCTGGGAAAAAAGGACAGCAGCAGGGTGGCAGAAATCGAGTTCCAGCCATTGCACGTGCTGGGTCCATTGCGAGAATATCAGAGCCTAAAATTAAAAGATCCAGTGAAATTTATTTTGCAAGACATCTTGCTGCGTCTGTGGAGCCGTCTGACTCTTTCAGGGCAGGGATACAGAGACAGAACCTTACATCTGCAGCAGCAAGAGATGATGAACTAGAGAAAGGTCAGGGTAAAATATTATTTTCTGAGAGGATTCAACACAGGAGCTCTTCACTCCAGAAAGTTCACGTCTCTTGGTTTCAAAGCTGGGTCTTAGCACTGTGGTCAGACATACTCAAAGACCCTGACAGGGAGTTATCGCCCATCATTTTAGATGTCTACCACACAGCATCTGAGACAGTCATCTGGCCTCCTTCGTAGCCAGTGAAGAGAAAGAGGCACATCTGGAGTGTGATTCATCTCGGCTGTTTCAGTTGCCTACCTTCGAGTGAGGTGAATCATGCCCTGGAAATTACTGTTTCTCTGTGTTTAATTGGGTGATGCAGTTGTTTGCATCTCCTACATCTTATGTTCACCCCATCTACAATTTGGCCATCACTAAAAAGGGGGAGCTAAGAACTGAATTTAACAATAATAATCACAATAGGAATAGTCAAATATGAAATCACACTCTCCCAGACACAACAGTTTCTCAGTACGTGAAGGCTGTTGTAAATAAAAATACGTTCTCCATGCCCATTGGAAGAACTCACAAAATCCCAGCCTTGTAAATTCACTGTAATAAGGACTTAGATATCTGGGAGAAGTGTCCTGCTCACAAGAAGAGGGAGGTAGCTGGAAGAAATGCAATAGGTGATAACACACAGTTGGTTTTGACGTACCCTGGGTACTGCCTGTCTTCCAGGTGAAAGTCCTAGTTCCCACTACGACCCATTATTCTTGTCAGTTCGTTGTTCAAACTAAAGAACTTGAAGATAAAAGTTTCTCGATGCTTTTATCATGTAACATCAGTGCAGCAGAAATGCCTGAGAGCATTTCGTAACAACGGACCCGAGAATAATTTCTACTGTTTTACGGGAGACTTCAGAGTACTCCCAACCACCTTCTGTCCACGGTGAAGAAAAAACTTTCTCAGTGCGCAGAAGACCAGATTAACTACTGGGACGCTGGCCACGGTCTAGAGCCCAGAGTAACTGCTCATCACGGGTCCTTCTTCACCTCCTGGCAAACACCTGGTCATGGGCGAAGAGAAGTACCCGGCTAGACAGACCAGGGGCCACTTCTATGTCCCAGCACCACCAGTAAATTTACTTCATGAGGAGAAGAAAAAGGGAATCAAGACAATGCTCGCTCTAATTACATGCACAGCTGACACATTTCTGGAACACGCACTAAGAAGAAGAACATGGGGTATTATCACTGCATCGCCAGGAACGCATCGCCCTTCCCAGGGATCTGCACTACACGTTTCCAACGCGCTCTGTGAACCTCCAATAATTCAGCCAGAAGCCCTCGCTCTAAAGACGCTTACTGAGGACACTCCGAACGCCCATGTACAAGAGGTGAATGCTTCCACAATAGCAAGTAAAGTCAGTGGAAAGGAATTACATCATTCCTACTCAAGGTCCATGTGGATTTTCCCTTCTCTTCTAGCCCAGTGTTATTTCCAGGGTGGAACACGGCCGCTGGAAATACTGAATTACAT